TTTCCACTGGTCGGGTGTGCGAAATGCGAAGCGTCTACGGTATTTCATGTTTACGGTATTCCAGGTGTATGCATCCGTCCACGCACTTTAATGAGGAGTGCACCCCCCCCGCCCCGTCCCCTAACCCTCCTTCGTTCGCCCTTCCTTTTGTGGGAACACCCTTTTCCTTTTCCTTGTCCCTCTTTGGAAACCCCAAAGGCTCACGGCATCAAGCTGGGGCCAGGGGCATCGCTCAATTACAACAACGTAGCCCCCCCCGCCGACAAGAGCAGCTGCTGCTGACAGCAGCATCGTTACGGGGTAGCGCCACACCGCGGAGATAGGATGGCGCAGCCATGGGGGGGGGGTGCTCTTCTACGAAGCGACTAGGGGACGGAGAATCCTCTTTGCTGCGTTGAGCGGAGGCGGCGAGAGCCCTCTGCGACGAGGGAGGGGGCTCCGCGGGAAGTGGCAGGGGGGGGGTATCCTCAAGGAGTCAGGGTAGACTTGTGGGCCGCATCCATTGTGACAACCCTTGTCCCAGTGTGCCGGCGCGGAGATGTTGTTGAGAATGATAAATGAGAGATAGCGTTCGTCCAGTGTTGATGTATGATAGTGTTTTTTTTTTGGCTTTTTGTGGGTAGTCTTGTTTTGCACCAGAAGATGGCTTGCCACAATTAGTTTCTACTTTTGTTCTCCAAGAGAAAAAAAAAAAACTTTTATTTTTTGGTATGTATTTGGCAACGTTTTTTTTTCCACCAAGTTTCGGTTCGTATATGGATATGTAGACAGCACTCATGCTCTGCCACCACCAAATGTGGGGCCAATGTTTTCTTGGACCTGGAGAGCTTTTTCAACAACAGGTTTTGTAGTGCTGGGAGGCAAGATGAGCGGTGGGGTGACGGGGCGAAATATAGTATTTGCAGTTGGGTTGAGTTGGGCATATTGATCGCAGGGACTACCGACCGGTTGAACAGACCTGCTGTAACAGGGGCTGTGATGAATGCTGACGACGTTGTCCTCTCCCTAGCCAGGGCTCGCTGCTTCCATGCATGGTACACCATCCGACAGCAGCGGCAGATCACATGAGCAAGGCCAGTGCCCCCGCCTACACACATTTGTTGGCACGGAAAGGCTTAGCAAGTTTCCGAGATTGTGGTGTCGTTGGCATGTGTGTGTGTTTTTTTATCATTGGCATCGACCGCGCTAACCGGCTGACCAATGAAAAGACGTCAGTCTTCGTGCGGTTGAAAACCAAAACACTTCTAAATGCCATTAACTGGGACCCCGTGAGGGGGCGGCATGCGTGTGTGGTATGTATGCGTGGGGCTGCGCCCCCCTCACCGCCTTGATACGGTTCGGGGTCTCATTTGTTTCACGTCGCAAGCCCCATCTGCACTATGTCAAGCTCGGTCGTTTCAGCAGTGCAGCGCCGGTGATCCCAATAACCGTTCGTTTGCAAACCAGGATGCCGTGCAACGCGAGAGAGGACTAACATGAAGGCCAGCATTATTAGGTGCGAGGACATGAAGATTCATCCGCTACACATCGAGCGGGGTGCTGGTGTGTGTGTCCCACCTACATACGCACACCACCGGTTGGGAGAGTGTCATTGGACATTGACCAATCACACCGTGTTTTCCGTGTATCCCCGTCCTCTCTCGGAGAAGGGGCGCACCGACGTGAAAAGTCGGGTCGTAACAAGAAGCCCTTCGGCTCTACGAACACCCTCTTGTCCCACAGTACGATGATGGGACAGAGAACTTTAAGGGTCCCTCCGGCCAGGCAGACGTTATATTATTACACCTAGGGGTGGGCGGGGGGTGCGATGGAACGAACCTTCTTCTTGTCGGTTTCTCGGTGTCTGCGACGGCGGCAGTGGCCAGGCTGGACAGGTAAGTCCAAGAAACAATCAATCAACATTATTTTATGTTTTTTTGTACAACGGACCGCTACTACAGGTGAGCGCGGCTGTCGTGTGTTGCCAACAACCTGGAGAGAGGGAGAGAGAGAGAGAGAGAGAGAGAGAGAGAGAGAGAGAGAGAGAGAGAGAGAGAGAGAGGTATTTGGCAGAAGTCCACTGCTGCAGCTGTTTCGCTACATTGCGCAATTTTTTCCCGCTTGGAGCCCAACGGACTACACATGGCGGCCGACAATGACCACATGTGCAGACAACACGAGATGAATGTTTTACGTCTGTTTTCCAATTGTCAACCATGATCATCACCTGTTGGTTCCCAAACCACTCGGCACACATACATAGCCCGTGCAAAAACCATCAAGAGGGATACATACGTCACCTAAGGAACCATTGAAACCGAAGGCTTTCCACATCGCAGCGATGCAGAAGAAACGGGCTGCTACTATATGTGACCTTACCGCCTACCAAGCTAGTACCTAAAACACGAGAAGATATGAGAGGGATCAAACGGCGAACTCAAGCGGATTAAGACAGCGAGGCGTTTTCGCGCGAAGACCCTTCTTTTGACGGTCCCGTGACTTCCTGTAGGCTACCCTTCGACTCGTTCTCAACAAAGCGAAGAGCACCGAACGCCCGTGCGGTACCCTCGATACACATGCAACCTTTTGTTTCTGTCCTCTCGTGGTGGTTGGAAATGGGACGAATAAACACGCGCTAATTAAACTGCCTTGACTAATACCGCAATAACTATGTAAGTAGGTGAGTAGGTGCCCGATCCGAAAGTACCCAAAGAAGAAAGAGATGCCGACAGGCGTTCGTTCAGGCCCTCCAAAGCTTTGGGCCAGTAACAACCGGGGTAAATAAGTTGCAGGGATGCAAGTCTGTAGTCATGAAACCGCAACAAGATAACGAAATTTCTTGCAAGGCAGAATCTTGCACCTGCCTGTATTGTTCGCCGTAACGTCACGGCCCCCTATCAATGCATCATGATTCTCAAAACAGGGTCCACGAACCTTCGGCCCTCGTTCTACCGAACAATCCTAAACGCTCCACTACCGGTTCACCCGTCAAAATACCATCTCGTACAATGCAACGGCGAAAACCCGCAAAGTCACAACTGTGTCACAACGTCGCACTGATCGATTTTACCGTGTGCGGAAACTCACACTCCTGCGCGCGATTCCCTATCGGGAGGCCAGCAGGACGAACAACAGAGACACGTCGTTGCGTTCTCTTCTCTCGCGCTGCTTGCAAATCCATGACGTTTGGTGCCCACGAAAGATGACCGAGCACTTGGGTGAGGGCACAGAGTAAGCTTTCGGGGAATGCATGCCCTATTTGGGTAACACTCTGTTATTGTGGCCCTTCTATCCGTCTGCAGCAAGAAAAAAAAAAACGTCACCGCACCTAAAACATGAATTCTACCCACACTATTATTCTATCTCGCCAACGTCCGACACAAACCCTTCGCGTACGCCGGTCGGCAACACCTCACAGCTAACCAAGTTGGTCCAAAACATCACCACCCCGCGCCGCAACACCAAGCAACTCAGGGCGATGGCAGCAACAACCCGACACTCGAACTGCAGAGCAGAGCAAGGCCAAGCCCTGAGGCAGGCGGGCGAGCTTAAAGCGTTGGACAGGCCTCCACGAGACTGGCCCTAGCCACCCATGTTCAGCATCGTGACCGCATCATCTACTTCCACGGTATCCAAGCTCGTCCGAGGGCCGAGAAACGCAGGGGGGGTGTTATCTTCCGTCAACCTCAGGGTGGGTCTCCACGGCTGGTAGTGCGCTATTTGGTTTAAGTGCCTCCGATCTGCAGGTTGCCGTCCTCGTCTTGCTTGAAGTTCTTCACCATCTCCGGCGTCATCCCGTCGTACCTTCAATTCAAGACAATTCAAGACAATTCAGGACATAAAAAGAGATTCGCATTACTCATGTATTGTACGACAATCAACAAATGCTGGCAGGTTGGCACAATGTGCATTCACACTTCAAGACAATCCAGGGGTTCGCATTGCTCACGATAATCAACAAACGCTGCTACTAGCATGGTTGATTCGATGTACCTTCTATTCAGTTCAGAGCAATCAAGAGGTATTTACTTATCACAATCAGGAAAGGCTGATACGACGTGCGTACTGTTCAAGACAATCGAGAGGTTAGCGTTACTTATCAACAAAAAAAGCTGGGAGGATTATACGAAATACGTTCAATTTATGACAACAAAGAGATTTGCATTAGCCACAACCACGACAATATTAACCAATTCTGGCATGGTTGATACGAACGCGCACGTTCAGTTCTAGACTATCGAGAGATTCGCATTGTTTGCGACGATTGGCAGAAGCCATTGTGGATGACGCCACGTAAGATGGCACGATACGGTTATAATACAACAGCACACGAATTCACACAGAATCACAATACCGAATGATGCAATTGAAACACTGTTTTCCAACAGAATGAACGCGAGCGAGTGGGAACACGTGTGTTGTAAGGGTGTGGCATACAGGTGTCGGCGAGGGTTACTCGCTCCTGACAGATGAAACGCTCATGTGCCGATGCGAGTCTTGCCCTCACTTTGCCCTAAATAACAAGAACGGACAGTGCAACGTGTGGCACCATCACAAGGCGTCGCAGAACCGCATGCGGCAATCTAGCAATAATCACGAGTGGAAAAGGCAATCACATCTGATTGGATGGGTGGGTACGGTCGGTGGCTGCAGGGTAAAAACCTTCCCGGACGTTGATCAGAAATACACAACAGAAAAGGGGACTGGCACCCAAATCTGACACAGCAAAACAGGACTGGAAAGCACAGAAAATAAAACCTCCTGTTGCCTCTTCATTCACACGTGTGTTGGATGGGATAGTGCCAAATGTAGAGACACATTGATCGTTCGTAGATTGTGAGAGACGTTTATGTACGCTTCTGGTGTTTGTGCTTCTCTTGTATTTTCTGGAAACCCACAGCAAGTGACATTATTTCGCTGGCCCGGTTGTTTGTACACACTTCATGAACTCGAGTATTTTCAGGCAACTGGGTTGCGAACAATCGGTCACTTGTCGTTAACACCCACGACTTATGCTCACGCATAAATGTAGAGCCGGGGGTGAGGTATTCATAATCACCACTAACGCTGGTGTTTACATCAGTAACACCCACGATTTTGTACCGGGGTCGAATTACGGCCAGGGGTGGGGATGTTCTATTACCATCCACAACAGATGCTGGAGTTTTGAGCCAGGGCTGGGGATGGGTGTCGGGAAAGACGGAAGCAGTCTGACATGACCCTTACTTGTCGTTTGCCCAGGGCATATCTTCCCCGCGCAGCTTGCCGTCTTCCTCCATGTTCTCGAGGTCGAACACGGACACCGTGGCGTCCTTCCACGCACGGTCCTAACACAACATGAGTGATGGGCAGCAAAAGACAACGCCAATATCAACTACATGAACGATAGCAACATGACAACCATCACGACGACAACAACAGCAACAGCAACAAGCAGCAGCAGCAACAGCAACAAACAGCAACAGCAACAGCATGCAACAACAAGGACAACAACAGCAGCACCACCAGCAACAACAACAACTGACAACGACATGAGGGATAGCAGCAAGAACAGCGACAAACAGCAACAACAACAGCAACAACGACAACCACATGAGCAATAGCAGCAGCAATAAACACGAGTAACCAAGAGAGACAACAATAAATAGCAACAATAATCGAGTGACAACGTACCTGCATGTCTTGCGGGCTCTGCGACTCGCCGTAGAGTTCGGTAGCCACCTGCTCGGCCTCTGAGATCATGTCGTCAAGCTGCTGCGCGAATCCTAGCTGTAACACGCGCAGAAGCAGAGGGGGAGAGAGAGAGAGATTGAAATTGAGATTGAGATTGAGAGACAGAGTACGTGATATTTCTAAGAATCCCATCTTCTGTTCACGAGCTTTGGCGGCAAATAACAAGAGACAAGGGCGATACAGGCGAACAAACACAGCAACACTCCCGGGACAAAATGGGGCGTAGCGACACAGTAAGAACTGTCTTCGTAAGTCTCTACGAAACCACACCTTGTCCAAGGAAGAACCTAACCCGCCGACAAATCCCCCATGTAGAAAAAAAAACATCTCAAACTAGTCACACTAGACGTATCACACAATGGAGAAGCATGAAACGTATGGCAAGTACTTAGCCGTATGCATACCTCGGATTCTCCCACGTTCCCGAAGTTCCGGATGATGCCCTTGACGGTCTCGATGAACTTGGGAGGGGCCACGTCGGGAGCCTCGGAGGTTTCGCTGCCGTCGGCTAGCACCACTTTGGCTCGCTGTCGGAACGCCTTCGTCAAGATCTACACCAGCAGTGTCGTACAACACCGCGGCGACGAGGACCCGTGCCGGGAGGAGGGAAGGGCGTGCTCATCGACAAAGGAGGAGAGAGAGGGGGGCGTACTCGTGCTTTGCATGCCTAGGTTGATAGACCATCGGGGGGGGTACCGCCCGTCTTCAAGGAAGGTACTTTCGTGATCGACCCGCTCCCCGAACACCTCGTCGCGGTTTTCAACGTGAGAGATGGGGTTGGTGCGCTGGTGCTCCTGGTTCGGAAGGTACTGTGTGGTACGTTAGCCAACGCTCCTGATGGGGTACTTGCTCTTTCTTTACCTTGCATGCTTTTGGAACAACTTGATCACTTGCTGAAAACATTGGAGAATATATTGGGGGAAATGTTCGCACGAAGTGCGCGCCCGACTGCCGCTAATACTGTGATGTGTTCATGTGCACACTGCTACACAACGGACAACCACATCACTGACAACAATACGGGGTCGAGTTGCTTACGTTCAGCCTGGCCTCACGGTCTTTTGCCCGCAGCAGTTGTCGTACCAGCCGCTTCTCTGGGTCGACCTGAGTACAATAGCGGTGCAATAGCGGTGCAATGGTGGGCGGTACAATAGCGGCACAATAGCGGTGCAATAGCAGCAGGCCCCAAACCATAGGACCTCAACCCTGAAACACAGTTGAAACGAACATAAATTACGCCTGCGCCCTTCACTCTGATGCTTGCGACCAAACGCAAACAACATGACGTATCGATGAGCAGGATGCTAGAGGGTGTGAGCATTGGCCGGGAACCACCTGCGGTACATACCGCCCCACCAAAGCGTACAACACCACATGCCTTCTCCTCTCGGGACCCGTCTCCACAAACACGCAAACTTCAAGTAGTGTGTACAAGACGCTCGTCAACACGATTGCACTACCATACGACAAAAACATCAACTGTGGCGGTAGCGGAAGCTTTAGAGCCTACGACAGCACCTTCTCATCCAACGCTGCTTGCGCAGCTGCCCCGAGCCTCTTAAGCACGCCCACCGCGGGCCCAGCGTCCGCCTCCTCCGCCTGCTGCAGGTTAGCCTGACAAAACGGAAGATAACAGCGGGGGGGGATACTCATAGTCGTGCATGCCGTATCGATTGACCTTTGACCTGGCATCCCTGCAATGCCGGGACGGAGCACGCCGGATTCTCGCCGGACCAGGCTCTCACATCACCAAGCGCGAAGCGCCGTGAGGTATTCGGCGAGTCGCATGGAGGGTGCGCTGCATCCTGCTAAAGATGTTCGGCATATTGTGCTTACTTGCTTGCGCGGATGACAGCTGCAACTTACTTGATTTCTTTTCTGGTGCTTCCACTTCGAGAGACAGTTATAAGCACTACTGTGAATCTGCCTCAAGTGTGCGTGACCAATTTAACACCACGTGGTGCGATCATCCCCTCTGCGCGGAGTGAGCGGTCTCGACCCCACACAACATAATCTACTTCACTAACATTATGGTTACCGCAACAAAAAAACAAAGGAAAATAACAGGGGGGAGGGGGGGGGGGGCGTACTCTTATGTTTTGCATGCCTTAGCGGTTAGACCATTGACCACGCGCCCTCGAGAGGACGGAGCAGTGCTCCCACAGGACCGATCACCGATGGCCAATCGTTCCTTCCTACTTTGCCAAAGGTGGCTAAAAGATGTCGTCCCTAGTCTATCTGTCCTAACGATATCCCTTCCCGCCTTTTCAGACAACTTCCTACTCCCCAGTACAGCTACCGTCCTCTCCTCTCTATTCCATGCCTCAAACATCTCCCTGTACCTCCCTTGCATTTTTCCCAGCTCAGTCATGTACACTTCCCTCTTCTTTTCGTACAACTGACATTCCGCGACTACATAAACACGGTCTTCGCATTCGAAGCCGCAATCACATTTTAACTTGTCGTCTTCGTCGTCTACCGTCCTATGTCTTCGTCGACGTTCGCGAAGGCTTATGTCCCCGGTCCTGAATTTGACCTAAGCTTTGTCCCTGCATCCATGGGTCCATGTAGGTAATCCTTGAACCCTGTTCCTTCTTTCAACATTCCGTACACTTCTAGACCCTCCTTATCCTTGGTTTCTTTCCTTAGATTCTGTTCTTCGCTCTTGGCACAAGCAACAGGTATCTTCTCCTTGATCCCCTGTAGACCCTCCGTTTCCAGCGTTTCATCTTCGTCGATTTCGAACCCCTTCCACACGTCCTCTACAACCTTGACCCATTCCGTGGGTTGTCTACCCCTCTTTTTGTTTGCCCCCTTCGCCTCCCATACTATTCTCGGCAGCCTCTCCTCTCCCATCCCGCACATGCGGTGCTGACATTTCAGCTTCCTTGCGTCTCTTCCCGACCGTAGGGATTGGATCCCCAATCCTGCTCTGACGGCTGCGTTACTTGTGCGCTTGGAGCATCCTAGAATGATTTTCGCTGCTTTCATCCGCGCCGCCTCCAGTTCTTTCACTACCTTCTTATTTCCTTCCCATACTTCTCCGGCGTACTCTAGCGGCGGTACGATTACGCTCTTCAAAACCGTCAAATTGATGCGTGTATCGAGGTGCCGGTTTGCGAGTATTGGGTGCAGCTTCCCTGCTCGTGCTTTGCCCTTTTCCGCTGCCTTGGACATGTGTGCATTCCACGAGCAGTCCTTTGCGATCTCTACTCCGAGGTATGTGTACTGGTCCACTATTGCAATCTCCTCGATCCCCCACTTCCGTCTATACTCTACTCGTTCCTCCCTGTCCTCGGTGCATACCATGACGGCACTCTTCTTGACGCTGGCAGACAGTCTCCACTTATCAGTAAACTTCTTCGCCGCGTCAATTTGCAGGTGCAGTCCCTCAGGGGTATCCGACATACCAACAAAATCATCCGCAAACAGCATTCCCGACACCGAAGTTTCCATGTTCCCTACTTTTACTCCCTTCCGGACTGCCTCTACGACTTCCAACAGATCGTTGATGAACACCTGGAACAATGTTGGGGACAGCGTGCAACCCCCCTGCTCAATGTCGAAGAATTTATCCAGTTCTCCGTCTAGCATGACCGCGTTTTTCGTACACTCTGTCATCTTCTTCAGCACTCTCCACATTTTCCCCTTGATCCCGTACTTGGACAATTGTTTCCACAGCCCATTTCTCCATACTGTATCGTATGCCTTTTTCACGTCCAGGAAGAAGCAGTACGTCGGCTTTCCCGCCCTCTTTCTACCTTGGATGATTCTTCCTACCGTGAATGCGTGATCTACGCACCCCCTCTTCTTTCGGAAACCTGCCTGGCCCTCACCAATGCTATGTTCCTTCTCCAATACTCCCACTATCCTATCGTTCAGCAGCTTACAGAACGGGAAGAGGTTCATTCAATGCTGTTAGCATGTTACGCTCATAGGTATTTGCGGCGTTGTCCTAGCATGGGTGAGCTTCTACTTGGCATAGTTTCGGGCAAGGCAGCCGCCACAGCAGCAGCATCAACAACAACAATAATAGCCGAAGCATCATCATCATCATCATCATCAACAACAACAACAGAGTCAGCATCAACAGCAGTAGCAGCAGCAGCAGCAGCAGCAGCAGCAGCAGCAGCAGCAGCACATCAACACCACCAAGGGCAACAGCAACATCAACAGAGGTGATAGCGATCGCAACGTTGACCTACCTGCAGCAGAAGCACGAGAGCATCGTCCACTTCTCCCCTCTCCGCCATGGCCTTGATCGTCTCTTCCATTCTTTCGGGATTTCCCACCGTGAGGATTTTCTGCACGACACGTCCCGTTCAACAACCGCCCGTCAGATACAGCACACGCCACTACCCCTAGCCCCTACCCTCTCTTGACACTACTAACCGTCAACAGGTGCTGACCTCTCTATGGCCATACACGGAAACACAGCAATTAGCCGGTGACGTACAAATAGGCAAGCCTGTGAGTGCGATAACTCGTTACGTTGCCCTGAACAGCAGTATCCGCGAGTATCATAGGTGATGGATGGAGGTTACAATGGTCGTGGAATTGTCAAGCACAAACCAACAACGACGACGTCGCCAGGAGCAGCAGCAGCAGCAGCAGTAGCACCAACAACAACAACAACAACAACAACAAGGCCAACAACAACGGCAACGACGTCGCCAAACGGCCGGCAACACTACGGCTGAACACCAGCAAAAAAAACAAACAACTACTTAGCGCGCGCCGTTGCGTAACCTGTAAAAATACAAAAAAAAAATTTACTCCAGTAGTGACTAGCGAATAGACGCTCTACATTGGCGGCGGCTTGCCTGCAACCGCTCGGACGCTTGCGCCATCCTGCGCTGCATGGTGTTGTTGATGCTGTCCCCCAGGCGCGTGAGAGCAGCGGCCGCGTCCGTGCCTTCGGCCTCTTGTGCCTGTCCATTGCAATTGCGGTGGTTGTTGTGGCGATCAAGTTCTTTTATAAATCAAAGTTTACGATAACAGAGTAGAAAGTGGATTGATCTTAAAATCCCACGGACGGCATAGGAGGATCAAATGATAGCAAGGGCATACATGCAACATGCATGTGGATTTAGCTTGCCCTTGAGGATGAAGAATTACAAGCATAAAAATGACGTGGCCGAACAAATGAAAAAGACGCTTGGTTGGCATTATGTTGTGAGATATTCGACAAATCGCTGACACACGGGCCTCCACATCATGGTCGGCGAGGGGAGGAAAAGTACACGGCTAAACCCTTCTCATGAGGACAACAACGACGTCAAGCACTTGAGAACGAAGCTGCAGAAAACAAACGTCAAGGACCTCCCTTTTCGTGCCACCCGCAGGTTGGTGTGTCCAAAAACACGCCGATCCCTGCCGCCCCACGTCTATCCCTGCCGCCCCACGTCTAGAAGCAAGTAGATGACAATGCACACACAAGTGTTTATGTGAAACGCCCGACCAGTTTCGATACCGTCGGTCCTCTATAATACCCCCCAGCAGCATTGCAATTCTCGTGGTTGATCCGAGTACCAGCTAAGAGATCTTGGTAGGTGTGCTCCTAAAGGGTACGAACAACAACAACACAGCATCAGTAGTAGCAGCAGCAGCAGCAGCAGCAGCAGCAGCAGCAGCATACCTTCTGGTTAAGGAGTGTGAGGAACTGGATGTCGACCTGGTCGTAGTTCGTCTCCACTGCATCTTCCAGACTCTCACCGTCTTCGCGGTTCAAGAGTTTTCCTAGCAAATTCTCGTACCCTGCTCGCACCTGAGGAGAGAGCACGGGCGACAGAAGCAAATAGGGCGGTCATAATTGTTGGTTTAGGCACTGTAGGCCAGCAGGAAGGAATCGGGACATAAGGGCACATCGCTGGAAAATAAGGCAAGCTCTAGCGCACACTTTGACACAAGATTGTGGTGTGGTACACCTGGGACACAAGCAGTACGGTGTGAGCATGAATCCAGCTCAAGCGCAGTGAAGGTCAGAAAAAGTGCAAATGCAAGGCACAATTTTGACGCAAGATCTAGCACGAACCGGCAAATGCTAGTGCGCACCCGTCTGAGACAGGTCACGGCCAAGTGACGAAGCCGGCTGTAGTTGCATATTTGTAACCACGGAAGCGTGTACATCAACAAAACCGGCAGCAGCAAACGGCAACAGTGGCAGCAGCAACAACCTCACAACACCACTGCTGGTCAACACCAGTAGCAGCAGCAACACCAGCAATAACAGCAACAACACCAGCTACAACAACCTTTAAAACACCACCAATGTAGCACGGCAGCAGTAGCAGCAGCAGCAGCAACAGCAACAACCACAACGACTACAACAACAACAACAATCACTACAACCACAACAAACTGACTTTAGTCGGCAGCCCCTCGAACGGGTTCATCTGCGCCTCCTTGAGGGCCTCCAGCGCGTCCCCCATGCCCTCGTCGTCTTCGTTAGCCTCCACCCCTAGTCTCTGCAGCCGCCGCATCTCTTCCCACACCTGGGCGTTCGAGCGTCGCTCTCCTGCAGCAAAGCGACAGCAAGCCGGCAGCAAGCCGACAGCACAACAGCAGACTCTTACCACCGACAAACGGACGGTAGGACGACGACGGGCGGTTGCATCCTTTCTGACGCGTGCATTCTGCGACAACTCTCTCCCGCCCCGAAGCAGCAACAAGCCGACAGCAGCCTCTAGTAGAGGGACGGATGAGGGCGAGGGCATACGTCTGCGGTGTATTCTGTGACAAGGCTCTCCTGTCCCACCAACAACAAGCCGACAGCAAGCAGACCCTCACCACCGACAAGCAGACGCTTGCACACTTCAGACCGTGCCATGTTTCTGGGACAACCTTCTGCGAGATAAACCACGCCACACCAACGTCGTTGACGAAAAAAACACTCGTGCAGCTGTCAAGCTCTGTCACACCTGACTCTCCGGTAACTTCCGCATCCACCGCGTTCTCTGCAGCCTCAGCGGCCGCCCTCTCGGCTTCCTCCTCCTCGATTGCCTTGTCCACGAACGACTTCACCTAAAGACGAAGAAACATACAATCTGCTAAGGGAATCGTACATATAGATACTTGTAGAGCCTCCGCTAACGCCATGGATTCGTTGCCAATCTATCCTGGACTCTTTTATCTGTATGTGTGTGTTTTGCCTTCACTTTTATCTGTGGATAGAAATGGGTTCATTGTGTTGTTGTTGCTGCTGCTGCTGCTGCTGCTGCTGCTGCTGTCATTGTTGTTGTTGTTGTTGTTGTTGTTGTCTTCAAACTACAAATCGTTCCGGTCTCCAAGCAGTACATTCTAATGCCCGCATTGGTTCGACCGAGGCGTCTGTGCAATACAAGACTTGCTGAAAGACGTTCAACACTTCCCCTCCTTTCGAGTATGCTCTCGAACGGGCACTATTTACTGTGATGGTTGTGTATGCATATATACATTTTTCAAATAAAAAAAGAACGTGAATACCAAAGTACAAAAGAGGGGACGGGGGGGGGGGGGTACCGCGAACATAGGTGTCGCTTTTTCGCTTCCAATGTGCAACTCCTTCGCTCCTTGATCGAACACCAACAACACCAGAGGCGGGACATCAAAACCAGAGATAACACACTCTGCAAGGAGGCAGGCGGGGGAGGGGGGGGGGGGCATACCTTGGCTGGGACACCCTCCTCTCTTCACGCGGAACCTCCCTCACGCCTTCCACTCCGCGTCGCCTCTCGCTAACAAACCCTAGGGCGCGCAACCTTCTCTGCCCATTTCAATCAACACCAATACTCGAAGACTGCTGGCAACCCGGGTCAACACCAAGGAAAAGGGGGGGGGCTCGGCCTTTGGAATGAAAAACAACGGCCGGGGGGGCCTTCTTTCCCCCGGGGGGTAACCCCACCTGCGGCCCAAACACCCCAAAAAAACGTGTAAAAAATCTCCCTCCACCGAAAAAGGGGAAAAAACACGTACGGCTGTACCCTATTCAAACCCACCTCGAAACAAAATCTAAACCTCCTGCGGGGACCCTTCCTTGAAAAAAAAAATCAAACCC